AACAAAAAAGTTCTTAATATGGGTTTCCTTTTGTGTAAAATGATAGCCTAGCCCTTCCTTGTTAAAGAATGCTCTTTACAATACTAACATATCATTCAATTTTTGTTAGCCATTTTGAAACTTAAAGAATGCGTCATGCAAATTGTCATATTTGTTTTTCAACAAGTCAAATTCATTTTGCATGCCTTTCATATTATTTTCAACCTCAATCTTAGCCTTAACTAGGTTCTCATTCTCAACTTTAAGTTTTTTTTTTCATGTCTTTGTATTTTAAAATTCTTTCTTCAAATTCAAACATAAGATCATCTTAAGCATTTTGCAACTCATTAAAAGTATAATCATTTTCATCATGAGTATCAAGATCATAAAGGGTAGGAAATATCTTGTAGTCATCAAGTGTCATGAGGCAAAATTTAGCAATCTTATCATCCTCTTCATCTTGTGAATTATCACTATCACTCGATGTTGCCATTATCCTTCTCTTTTTGAAGTTTCTTGAAGTCCCTTTTTTGTTAGAGCATTTATACTTGGTATGTTCGGGCTTCTTGTAATCAAAACATGTTAAGTGGTCTCTTGTGCACTCTTCCTTAAGCATATCCTTCTTCATAGATTTTCTAGCTAGAGAGTTCTTCTTTATGAACTTATAAAATTTTCTTGCTAACATAGCCAAGTCTCTTCCATTTTTGCTCTCACTTTTGGTGCTTCTGTTATCCTCCTTGACTAGAGATTTAAGGATTAAACCTTTTTGTTTGGTTTCTTCCTTTTTAGGTTTTCTTCTCTCACTTTCATCTTTAAATGTTATTTCATAAGTGAGAAAGGAACCTATGAGCTCCTCTAGCTTAAAATTATTTGGATTCCTAGCCTTTTTTATAGTTGTGACTTTGGGTTTTCAAGATTTTGGTAAGCTATAAAAGATCTTTTTTACAAGTTATGCACTAAGAAAATCCTTTTCTAAGGCTTTTAGACCACTAACAGTATTTGTAAACTTTTCAAACATCCCATTAATAGATTCACCTTTTTTCATCCTAAAAAGTTCATACTCATTACGCATCACCTAAAACTTTTTTGGAACCACAAGAGTTGCTAATAGAGAACAGCCACTATTATTTGAATCATATTGCATATTCACTTTTAATCACTTATTCCATCTCTTTAAATTTTAACATATGTAAAAATTATATTTTTCCTTTTCAAATGCAATATTTATTTATTTTTTGTTTCTAAATGAATTTATAGTCAGATTTAAGAAACTAATTCTTCATTTATGATTTCCAACCAATCAACATCTCTAGTTGATGAATTGCAATTATCAATACAATCAAAAATAAATATTAAATATATATTTGAGTATTTGATTTAGTAGTTGATACATAATATTATTACTGAAAAACATAATTCAAAAATTTTCTTAATCAAATAATAAAAAAGATAAATATTATATATGAATAAATCATGTCTAATTAGTGAAATGTATAACTTAATATAAAAAGAAGATCCAAAGGAGCTTTCAAGTTGAACCACGTTGTGACCTTCTTTAAATGATATATGGGTAAAGATTATTTTAAATATTTTCTATAACTTATATAATTTTAAGATCTAAAACTGTCTGTATGTTTACTTACGTTTTCGTTCTCTTAAGCTCACATGTGAAAAGTTATGAAAATATCAAAAAAAGGTTGGCTTTTTACTTTTCTAAGTTCAAAAATTTTAACACGTTGTTCAATGGCTCCACATTTAATCTTATCGTTATGCTGTTGCCATGTGAAAAGTTGTGAGATTAAAAAACAGAAGTTAGCCTTTGGCTTTTACAGGGTTGGGTATTGCAATTAATTGCTTGAGTGTGCACCACGTTTAATTTGGGTGAGCTTTTCTTCTTTTATTGAGAATTTCATTTAATCACTATATCTATCAACTGTTTTTACCTCGATTTTGTCGCTTTTACTTAGACTTCTCTTCCTTTCCATAGATTTCTTTAGTTGTTTATATGTTTCTTTACTTTTGTTTCTTTTATCTCCCGATCTATTGTTTATAATTTTTTACTGCTTTGGTTCTTCGTCTCTTCTCTATTGATTTTCGTTAGTTGTCTAACCGCAAACACTTACTTTACTTTGTTTTAGGTAATTCCTGAGCTTATCAAGTTAGCTCTTTTTATCAGTCTGATTGTGATAATTTTTTAATGAATTTTTTGGTATATAAAAACCATCATATCAAATAATGCTTAATCCATTTGCCATTTCCTTTTTTTATACATTTGCAACAATTTAATGTTCATATTAGATATATAAGTTCTACAATTAATTAGTTAATGTTTTTATTTTTTTAATGACATCTCATAAGTTTTATATCTATTTGACCCTTCTATTTACTGTTCATCCTCCCCACTCAATCCCTCTCCGATCTTCATTCTTCAAACAAAATAGCTTTCTCCTTTTGCCTTGAATGGAACTTACGCTTCCCAACCAAAAATAATTCTCCCCAAATTAAAACCTTCAAACTGTGATAAAATAGCATTTCATTTCGATTTTGTTTTGTTGCATTAGTTTGTTCAATTACTTAAAATTTCTTTGCCATATGAAATACAGTTGAGCAGGAGTCTACCTTGATGATGCAACCTGAAGAGAAAATCGGTGACGGAGAATATGTTAAAAACAAAGGTATTCCTTAAGCTATATAATCATCTTTCGCTTTTGCTATTTAGTAAGAATAAGATGGACTAAATAAATGGAATGGATTGGGAAGTAGTTTTTCTTTGGCTTGAATTTCTATTTGATTTTACTTTTTCTTTTTTTTTAACTTATTAATCACTGGCTGACTTAAAAATTTTGGAATTTAATGTGTGTATAAATTTTATATAATTTTGGAATTGATTCCCCAGAAATAAAAACCTTTGAACTGTCATATAATTTTATTTCATTTCTTTTTTGTTTTGTTTATTATTTTGTTGTTTTAGTATGTTCAATGAGTTGAACTTTCTTTGACATATGAAATGCAGTTGAGTTGGAGTCCACCTTGATGATGCAGTCTGAAGAGAAAATCGATGAAGGAGAAGATGGTAAAAGGGGAGGTATTCTTTAAATTATATAATCATCTTTTCTTTTTGACTATTTAGTAAGGAAGAAATAAAATGGACTAAAAAATGTAGCAGACTAGGAAGCAGTATTTTTTGGTTAGAATTTCTATTTGAATTTACCCTTTTTTTTTTCACTTATTTATCACCACCTGTCTTAACTATGACCCCAAGAATAAAAACTTTTGAACTATCATATAATTTCTTTTCTTTTCTTTATGTCTTGCCTTTTATTTTTTTGTTCCCTTAATTTGTTCAATTAATTGAAATTGCTTTGACATATGGAATACAATTGAGGTGGAGTCCACCTTGATGATGCAAGTTGATGATGTAGAAAACAAAGGTATTCCTTAAATTATAAGATGATCTCTTCTTTTTGGCATTTTAGCAAAGCACTAATTTTTTTTTTGTTAGGATTTTATTTGATTTTACCTTTTTTCACTTATTTATCACTGCCTGTCTTAACTATTTTGGAAATTAATTTGTGTATTAATTTTAATCAATTTTTTTACATCGACATTGTTTTATGCTTTAACAAAAGATAGTATCAATCAAGACTCCAGTGATTCCACGTACAGTTATCAGGCTAATCTTTCTCTTTATAGGGTATGTTTTACATGATTATTTTTGTTGCAAGTGTAAGCAGCTCGTTCTTGACACTTTTTTGCTGCAATGGAAAAAGTATTGATCAGTCAAGGAAGAATTTTCACTATAAGCTTAATCACCAAAAGTAATGAAATTAAGAATAACCAACGACAAGATGTTTGGCTATGATGAGTTGCGAAACCAAGAATGCTACACTCCATATTGAAGAGTGAACAATGATCTTAATTTTCATTATGACCATTCAATTTCACTTGAATAGGTGCAAATGAATGTATACTCTTTCCTTTTGCACGAAAAATTGTAAATTCTTTTTTCATGAACATTTCTGACAATAATTCTTTTGTAACCCCAGTGCAATGTCTGATGTTTGCTTGTGGATACCGAAGCAAAACGCAAGAAATGTAAAGCCACAAAAGAAATAATCCAGTCAAAACAAAACACGTAAACCCGACAACTCGGAATCCAGTGATTGCACAGAAACGGGTTACGTAGCCGCCCACGGGACCCTGCTCTCAACCATCAAAACCGTCTGCAAGTGGGGCCCTTCAATCTTTACCTTGTCCTACTCTGGCTTGAGATCAAAAAATCTTCTGACGGAGTGTCTAAATTACCAAACTATCCTTATTTTGTCATTCAGGAGACAGGGCCTTGTATATTATTTGAATTTAAAAAGAAGACATTTTAATTCCTTTTTTTCAAACGTTATTTATAATTTTTAAAATATTTACACTGTTAATCGATAATTAAGAAAAAAACTTCCAACATCACATCACCTATTATATCTAAAAACATAAATGTCTTTCTATATTATTTAGACATATTCTCCTTTTTTAAAAAAATGATTTGATCAAGAAAAAAAAAAGAAAGTAAAGGAATTTTAATTTAAAAGTTTCAAGAAACAGTTTACAATTTTAAAAGTATATTTTTTTAAATAGATTATATTTAAATTAGAAAATTGATATAAAGAACATTTATGTCTAAAAATGCATATTTGGCAGATAATAAATGATGTGTTTATATTTTTCTGAATTATTGATTAATAATATAAATAATAAAAGATAAATTTTTAAGTATTCACTAATAATATAAATAATAAAAGATAAAAATATTACTTTAAAATAAAAGAAACTAAAATGTCCCTTTAGAGAGAAATTGTTTTGCATTTTATATCGTAAGAGGATACGGACGTGTGCAAAAAACAAAGAAAATTCAGCGCAAAGGCAATACGGTAAATAACGCAAACAAGAACACCTTTTATTTATGCGGTAGGCATCGAAGGCTAATGTTTATCACATTTTCATTTTTAACAATTAAAAGAGAAAAAATGGGTGTATTAATAAGAATAGGCGGTGCACGGCAAGCTTCTTTTTACGAAACCACCCTCTCGACTCTCAACCAGCAGCTAGAACAGCGGGCAGGCCGGCTCAGGCAACAACCCAGTGGAACCAAACAAGAGAAATCAATAAAATAAAAATCCCCGTTCTGCCCGATCTCATACTTGCTCTCCACTCTCCAAGGTAAATCTTTTGCTCCGACCAAGTTGTTCTCTGTAGCTTTTCTTTGTGGGGGTAGTTTTCTTTATGTGATGGAAAATAGGATCTTTTTAGGGCTGAAGATGGATGCAGCTACAGCCTCAGCCTCAGCCTCTGTGGTTGGATCTTCTTTGACTCTACGTCGACCTCCAAGCTCCGTTACCAGATCGGCTATTTTGACTGCCAACCAGCCCCATTTTCTACGTTTCGCTGCCAAACCTCGCCTCCCCTTCTCGATTAAGGTGTCGATTTAGCTACTACCTTTTTTTATGTTTCTTATGATATCTTTACCTCTTTTGGGGTTCCCGGCATTCTCTTTTTAACATGTACTCTGGTTGTTAGATTATTTACTTCTTATAGTTGTGTGAATTTGTGGTTTTGTTTTGCGTTTATATGAACTTTATGAGGAAAAAATGAAGGGAAAATCTTGATACTGGCAAACCGACCTGGCCTGGAACTCATTTTTCAGCTGATTACGATTTTTTTAATTCTTATGGAGATTAGCATGCACCAAAATACATAGTACTATATGTTGATGCTTCATCCTGTTAATTGAATGGAAATTTCATTTTCCATGGGCTAGCGTTTTGATGGTTCCATTTATTTTTGTTTTTGTGGAGTCTATTAAACAGATTTTCATGATTCAATTGCTGTAGTTTTGTTTGGGATGGTCATTTTAGGATTGATGCAGTCATGTAGATGTTGAACATACTTGGCAACTCTGTATTTAATTTGGTGTTTTCTGGTTATCGATTCATTGCAGCATTATTCTCCACTTTCCTACTCAAAACCACGGAATAGAAGAACGGCTTTGGGGAGTAGGAGAGGCATGGTTGTGAGGGCATCATCATCTCCTGACTCAGCTGAACCCACTGCTCCCATTGCACCGCTGCAGATGGAGTCTCCAATTGGGCAGTTTTTGTCTCAAATCTTGATAAGTCATCCACATCTTGTGCCTGCAGCTGTTGAGCAGCAGCTTGAACAGCTTCAAACTGATCGTGATGCTGAGGAAAAGAAAGAAGAGCCATCTGCTTCAGCAGGCACGGATTTAGTGTTGTATAGGTTGGTGACTCATCTTACTCTATAGTAATAACTATGATAGACTTGACATGAAAATTTATAATCTCATTGAAAGTTTTGAATTTATTGCAGGAGAATTGCTGAGGTTAAGGCTAATGAGAGAAAAAAGGCTTTAGAAGAGATCCTCTATGCTTTGGTTGTACAGAAGTTTATGGATGCCAATGTTTCTTTGGTGCCTGCAATGATGCCCTCGTCTACAGATCCTTCTGGTCGAGTGGACATGTGGCCTAGCGAAGAAGACAAACTTGAGCAGCTTCACTCACCTGAAGCCTACGAGATGATCCAAAACCACCTAGCTCTAATTCTGGGAAATCGCTTGGGTGACTCAACATCTGTAGCACAGATAAGCAAACTCAGGGTTGGGCAGGTCTATGCTGCATCAGTCATGTACGGGTACTTCTTGAAGCGGGTTGACCAGCGGTTTCAGCTTGAAAAGACCATGAAAATTCTTCCAAATGCTTCAAATGGTGAAGAGAGTGGTATTGAGCAATCTGTCGGGGAGGACATGAGACCTGCTGGTCTAGGAGACTCCTATAAAGCTGTTTCATCAGACCCTGAAGTGTCATCTTGGTCTGGTAGCATCAGTCCTGGAGGTTTTGGTCATGGGATAAAGCCCTGTCGATTACGGACTTATGTGATGTCCTTTGATGGGGAGACACTTCTGAAATTTGCAGCAATAAGATCAAAAGAAGCTGTTAGCATTATTGAGAAGCACACAGAGGCCCTGTTTGGAAGACCCGAGATTGTTATAACTCCTCAGGGGACTGTTGATTCTTCCAAGGATGAGCTTATTAAGATTAGCTTTAATGGTTTGAAAAGACTTGTTTTGGAGGCTGTTACTTTTGGTTCTTTTCTATGGGATGTTGAAAGCTACGTAGACTCAAGGTACCATTTTGTTATGAATTAAGCTATGTTGCATTTCATCCCTGCCAAAACCAACTTTGTGGCAGGGACTGAACTGACTAGAATATGGTTTAATTGAGTGTAAATTTGGTGATTGTTACTTACTAATTTGCACTGATTATTCTGTATATAGTAATGTTTTTCTGTTGGAATTTGCATATTGACACAGCTGTTTTTGTGAAATTCGTCTTATCTTTCATCTTTATTCTATTACTTGAATGAATATATGCAATAGTAACTTTTGAGTTGTGATATTCGAATCATGTTATTTGGTTTTGAGTTATCTGATTCATTTTTAATATCATCTATCCGAATTGGGTCAACATGATGCATTAGTTTAGCTGTGCATGCTACCTGTTTGTTGGATCCATTGTCTCACTAAACCTTGATGTAAATAGATGTATGGATATAGGTTTAATTCTTGAATTCTAAACTACTAGACACTGAATTCAAAACTCTAGAATGATACTGGTATTGCAAACACCATCCTCCTCCCCTCTTCTCCCTCCCAAGAAAGAAAAGGAATAAGAAAACCAAAGAGAAAGGAGAAACTGAGTTAGCTTTGCTTCTGAATTCTTAATAAGCAGGGAATGAATGTGAAAATGTGGAGCGTAAGTAAGTTGTTATCAGGGACCTAACTGATAAAGCTGGTTGATTGATGACATTTTAAATGTATCTAAATTAGTTTTTTCAACATTATAAACATTTTTGGTACTTTTATAAACTATCTATGGTTGAGTTGATCATTGAAGAAAGCTGAAGTAGGTCCATGATAAATATGTTTGATTACTTTTTTTTTTGTTTAATAGATGTTTGATTGCCTTGTTGGTTATCTTTTGTATAGACTTTATCTTTAATGCAATCAGTAGGGGTTACAACTCTTTTTTGGAAATTGAAGAACTGCACCAAATTGAGCAGTTTGTTGGTATTGGGTTTTCATTGCCCAGACTATTGTGTTGGCTCTTAGTTTAGTTAGACTGACCAACTCGAAATGACCTCGCTATGTTTCAAAACTATCACAGAGAGGGAAGAAGAGACGGTGGGAGAGGTACTAGTGTAAATGAGAGGGGTTAGTTTTCCTTTGTTTGGATTTTAAGAAACTAGGAGTGGAAGCAAATTGGTTAAGCTTTTTCTTTTCTTTCTGCTGTCCGCATGTTGTTCTACCCTACTAGTGAGATTGAGCTTTGCACTTTCTTGAACATAGACTTCCTGTGTCTTAGTTTTGGTTGCCATGCTTCATGGATTAAGTTTTTCAGTATGGACAATGGTCCAGGTTTTCTTGTTTGTTACAGCCCTGTTCTAAACTGATGGATAATGTTCTTTTCAAATTCTGTCTTGTGAAGGGGGCGTATAGTGTTTAAAATAATATTTTCATCAGCACATCAAATTATTTGTAATGCCAGCTTCTGAATTACCTGTATTGTTGAGATGGCTGAAGGATAAAGAAGGCCACTTGAGGTTTCTGGGTGCTAAATCTTTTTGATTTCATGGAATAAATATAAATTAGTGATTATAGGTGCTGTCTTTTGCGAAGGCAAATATCATATTGGATGAATAACGGCAGTAACTTTGAGATGTTTGCTGCTTTTAATTGGCAGGCTTTAAAGCACACTTACATTTAGGTGAGTTTTATGGTCTGATTTGACTCATATGCGAAGCATTCTGGTACTTTATTAGAGTGTCAATTGTCCCAATGGTACTTTATTAGAGTGTCAATTGTCCCAATGAGTCGACGTATTTGGGTGTTGGGTATTACAGCAAATTCAGAATTTCAGATACTATTGTATTGCAAGAAACGCCTTGATGCAGAATACAAAGAATTTAATTAAGTGATTAAACTAATGAAGCTTAGGGAGTTCTTCTCTTCTCTTCTTTATTCAATATTCTCTATTGTATCTTGCTTGATCAAGAATTTCAGATCAGAGAACTGCCATAAACGTAACACCTAGCTACACTCAGGCCTATGAACAAAAAAAGATCTCTGATGTGAGTGGCTGCCATTCCTGTTTATTTTTGTTACCTTTTTCTATTTTCTTTTTTCATTTTCACAAACATTTTTGGATGTTCTTCCAAGGCAGTGACTTGCTGGATTATTCTTCAATCTCAAAACTATAAAAACTACATTGCAGTGTAGAGTTGCTTGGATAGATCTAAGCTATGCAGAACTTTGCCCAAAACATCATGGAAGACAATCCTGGCATTGGTTTGAGTTAGTTCTACAGACATGAATCCTTGGCCGTCATAATAGAATTTCATTTCATCTCGGTCTAAATAATGAAAGTCACCCTTCCATGCCTTTGAACCTCCTCCACTGGTTAAAAATTGGAGTGGGCTGCATATAAAACCACAAATGCTACCGTCAGGAACATTATTTTAAAGGTTTTGAGTGCTCTGGTCTGATGTTGTCCAGGGCGGGGATTACTGATTTTACCTTGTGATGCTACTGATGTGTTCCAAGCAGTGATCATGCCCATTGATGTACATATCGACATTGTTTGCCTGGAAATAGTGCTCAGGAATGAAAGTTTAAATATTTATCCTGCACCTTATCAGCTTTGCGACAAATTAGGCAGGTATTAATTACCTCGAGGACTGGTAGAAGCTGCATTATGAGCTCCTTGGTTTCACCATGGTGCCCCATGCTTCTGATGGGATGATGTCCAATTACTATTTTCCAGTTAGCAACCGACTCCCTCAGTGCCGATTCCACGTCCTGTCCAGTTTGAATGTTTTTTACCAGGTCGGCTATCAACTTTCATAGCAAGATTACAGTCAGACATATTGTACCTTTAGAACCCGCCTGAGGTATTTCTTCCTGGGAATCACTCCTCTCCAGTCAAATTTTTGGTGCTTTGGGTTTCGGAAGTACTCGTCAACAAATGGAGTGGTGTCGATGAAGAACAATTCCGCGATTTCTAATCATTGTTATTGAGTGACAAGAGAACAGTAAACCAGTTAGGACTGGGTTATTGCCTCATAAAATAAATTGTTGAGATAAATGCAGTTGTAAAATCCTTTCACCGGTGTTAACTATAAAAGATCTTCGGCAAAGCCATCTGCTGTCTATCCTCCGGAGAATGGGGCTCAACTGTGCCCGCACATTTCCCATGTAATCGTGGTTCCCCAAAACTGTCACAATCAAAGAAAGAACATGAGGAAATTAGGAGTCCTGAAAGAAAGAAATGTCAATCCTCACAATCAAACAGCTCCAGTGTGCTTACCACTATACCATTGCTTTTGCAAGCTGTTTGCAGTGTAGATTTCGGTGAATGAGTCCTTGAAATCAGGGTCACATGGGCTGGACAGCCCCTTGTCATAAAAATTGTCGCCAGTCGAGGCCACGAAGTCTATGCTTAGTTTCTCTCCAACCTTCCCCATCTACGAAACAAAAATAAAATCCAAAGTTGAGGATCTAAGTCTGTTTCCATGGTGATGATACATCACGGAGATATGAGAAAATGCATCAAAGTTTCTTTATATTTGGGCATGAATCAGAAAATGACGCCTTCTCTTCTTCTTAATACGCAACTTACAATGTGAACAATTTTGACAATAAATATTCTTCGAAGGATCTTGTTTTTGTTAACCTACCAAGCAATTTTATATGGAACAGGAGAATATACGTAAAAATGGCAAGGCCGTAACGAGACCTGAAGGGCCACTTCCGATTGATTATAAGCTCCTTTTCTTCCCCAGTCTCCTATCACCAAAAAGCCAAGTGACCCATCGGCTTTTGCTGGCTGTTGGAATCGCTGCAGCTCTGCTGAGACAAAAGTAAAGCACAAACAGAAGAAAGCTAGCCAGGCCAAGCTCAACGAGATGAAATGCTTACATGAACCATCCATTAACTCAGATGGATCACTTAAGAAATTTACGGATAGAATTCACTTAGCTCTTCCAAGGGCTTGTATGTATATATATATATAGAAAGAAAGAATTTGTTTACTAGTTAGTAATGTTTTGTTTTTTACGTGACATATTAGAAGACAGTGTAACAGCCACAACCAGAACTTGCATGGCATCCCTATAATCACATATGTACCTTCATTTTATATGCAAAGGGACAAAGGAAAGATAATTAAGACTGGACAGCCGAATAAAGATAATCACACATGTATCTTCTTACATGTTTCCTGGAAATTTCTCATGAATTTCATCGAGTACAATGTTCTTTTGGCATGTTCCAGAGGAAGAGATTCACGTGATGGATTGATGACCTTGGAAATGGATACAGTGAGCAGAAAACTCTAGCTTATAAAACCTACACGTGTATTATTAGTTAATTTTTAATCAGTAATTAGTTCTGAACAATTACTTTCTATGTATTGCCATATTTCAGTTCGAAAACCCAATTGTTTGATTTAAGAAAGGAGTTATCATCAATTTTTTTAGATGTAATTGGCTACATAATTGAATCTATCTTAGCCAATGAAATTTTATGCTTGACTTATGTCTACTAAAATGAATAGACTCCTGTTTATATAACAGTTATGCATGCGGAAATATTAACATCTTACAATGCCTATTCAAAGAATGGTAAATTAATCTTGTGTTATTTTATTTTCAATCTTGATAAATAAGCTTTAATTTCTCATAAACTTTTATTTTTCTTAATTATTTTTTTTCTATTTTTATTAATTTTTTATAATATTTGAACCTCTCCTTAACTTTTTTCTACACTTGACGAAAATTAAGAGAGTTGCTTCACCTCAAGAACATTCAAAAAAATCATCTATTTCATTGAAGAGGTTCCATCGTTGGATTTTGGTATTATAAAAATGTTTGAGTTAAATTCTTTTCTATTTCTTAATTTTCTTTTGTTTCTTATTTTATTATTTTATTTTAATTTTCATAAATAGAAATTATTTTATGTTGAAATTTTTTTTCTAAATTTTCTAACACTTTTTTACAAAATTATAAAAAAAACTTTCTCACTTAAAAATTTTCAAAAAATATTGTCACTTATAACGTTTTTTAAATTCCATTATTGAGGAATTTTATTTATTTGTATTTTTATGAATAAAAATCCCTAGCTATAGTTGGTGTCCTCATTGGTGCCCATTTTCTAATTTAATGCCAACCCTATTAACATTGAGGTAATAATGGTGTTTGAAGGGGCAACGGTAATAGAATTATACTGTTTTTTAAGTCTTTTGTTTCTTTTAATTTTCTGCTGTGTTCTTTAAGTACCTGTTTGGTCTAATTTATATTTAGCTTATCTACTGCTTAAAAGTAAAAGTTGAACTAAACAGAATTTCGTAAAAAGTTCTTATAAAAAAGTAACTTTTTTTTAAAGAATAAAATTTAAAAAAAAAGAGCTTAAAAAAAAGCTCCAATTAGGAGCTTTTTTTTTTTTTTATATTAAAAACACTTCAACTTATTAAGAGAGTTATTTTTTTTCCATAAACATCCTCTCTCTCAAAAATACTCCTCCCTTTCTCCCTATCGATCTCTCTCTCCTCTCTCTTTTTCTGCAAATCGAGATTTTTTTTGTTCTTACAAAAATTAAGAAGAACAAAAACCAAAAAATCAAAACTACATTAAGGTATTATTTTTTCTTTTTTTATTTTTTTTTTCATTTTATTTTTTATCATTCTTTTTTTTTGGGTTTTGGAAACTCTTTTTATTATTTGATATTTCTCAATTTATTGTTTGATATGAAAATTATGTGACATTTATTTGTTCTTAACTTTTTTTTTGTATATATAATATTTATTGATTATGATTGAAATAAGTCAAATAGGTCAATTGTTGTTGAAATAAATTAGATAAAAATTGAGAAGTTAAAGTTAAATAAGTATATATATGACACTTGATATACATAAAGTTAAAGTTAAAGTTATAGTTAAATAAATAGATTGATTTTTGTTCTCCTATTTTAATTTTGTTGTTCCTTTTCAACTTTGAAGCCAATAGAAGGGGCAAGTAGAGAAAAGTAACGTTTTTAGTTCTTTATTTTTCTTGAACTAATTAAAAAAATTCTTTAGAGTGGACAGACAAGCTGGCATCAATCATAAGTATCAAAGGGTAAATTCCTTTTGACATTATACCCCTTGATACTTATGATTGGCCCCATTGCTTATCAAGTTGATCTGTGGGATGGGGCAAAAAAAAATGTCTAAGAATTCTTTTTCTAAAATCCAAAACTTATCCAATATAGATATTGAGATCATGGAATGCCATAGAAGCTTTCATTTTCTTGCAATTTATATGTTGAAAATGTTATAATTAACGTTAAGAGTTGCATAAATTGTACGTAAAAAAAAAGACAAAATTTATAACTTAAAGATATAAATACACAATGCAACTCGTGATAATGTAAGATAAACAGTATTAAATATTGGTGCTTTATTTGAATTACATTTGAAATTATTACAAGGTTTGATAAAATTCTTTTTCTAGGGCATATTATCTTCGACCATTATATATGTAATGATTTGTTAATGTTAATAATCTGATTTCCTTGTTAAAGGAATTGATTTAGAGGGATGGGAAAATTTTCATATTGCTAATTATGTTGATCTTATACATTAGTCCACTTGTTAATTATTAATTTGATTGCACTGATCATATAAATTGATTAATTTAGATGGCATTTTATGCTGATTTAAATTAATTAATTAATTATGGGTTATAAGCCATCCTTAATTATTGATCTTGCTTAGATGTTTGGAAGGATTATATGGGCTTTGTGGAAATTGGTTCAAGATCGATATCACAATGTGGAAAAAGTGATACGGTTGTTAGAGAACAAGCTTAATCATGAACCCTCGCTATTATTGTTTAATATTCTTACTACACAAACACACCAAAAAAAAAAAATCTTGGATCTTAAGAACAAAAACCTTTGTTGAGCTAGAAGCTTTGTGAATCGGATTAGTGTTATATGTATTCAAGTTCTCTTCATCTTATTCCCTCTCGGTCCAAATATATAGTTGAAACTTGGTTGTTCTTAATTAAAAATTTATGACCATAATTCTTCAATTTTCAAGCCACAATCTCTAAACAAGCCAACCCCTAACACACCCTAACCTTTGCTAAATTGTAAGTGAAGCGCACAAATTTAAGGTAGTTCTTGAGGAATAGGAAAAATTTACAAACCATGATATAATGTGAATTAGACATTATTATTCTAAGTTTATCAAAATAGTAAGCTAAAAATAGAAGCCTTCATTTCTAAATTCTGTTGATTGCATAATAAATTTAGGTGTCTTATTGTTTGAGTGATGACACAATATTTATTGCTTTATATGTTGTGTTGCAGTTTATGGCTAGTCAAGAAATGCCTCCACTTAATTTTGAAATTTCAAATAAACCAAAACATAATGCAAAATGGGATTTGGTCACTACTAAAATCTTACTTTAAGTTTGTACAGATGAGATTCGTAAGTGTGAAAAACCAAGAATTTCATTTATAACTAAAAGATGGGAAGTTGTAGTATAAGAATTTAATACTCGTGCTAATAAAAACTATACCCAAAAGAAATTGAAAAATAGATTGGATAGTCTAAGGAATGAGTGGACTTTATGTAAACAATTGAAGGGCAAAGAAATAGGTTTGGGTTGGAACCATAAGACAAGAACCATTGAAGCTGATGCCACATGGTGGGAAGCCAAA